AGCAATTCTGGGGCTCGGGATCAACCCGGGCTCCTTGCACGACAGACCAAGTTGGTCTGACCGAGTACTAAGCCTCCAGCAGCTATTGAGTCAGCCGACCAGGAGCAGTAGAGGGGACTGACCCGGCGCGTTTGGCTTCTGCAAGCCTGAGAAGCGTGACCCGAGAAGTTGTGGATGCCGATAAATACGCCAGGCTTGGGGCTGGTAATTAACGATCATAGTTCCCATACGAATGGTGGCTTGGCACTGCGCGCCCATCAATGAACCTCTAAGGGCACTGCTTTTTCGACCTCGCTTTGACATCACAAACCCTTGTGCTGGTACTCCTGTCATCTCAAGGGGCCCTCGTCCCGGGATGGTTAAAAGCCTCGTGTTGAATCCATGCTACTTCAACAAATTGGTCTCCTGAGACGACATGAGGCTAGCCTTGTAGACTTAGGAGTAGTGAGGATCCAGGTTCCAGGCTAACTTTGCACCCCCACAACGGCTTGCAGCGCCGAAGAGAAGTTTGCCCGCTCAGAGTAGAGGTTCCTGGCTCGCGGACTCCAGTGAAACGTTTACATGGTGCAATAGAATAACTCTCAGCATGAGTAGTGGCTGCCAGAGATTTGAGAATTTAGGAAGACTTTCTTTTTTGCTTTGCAACAAAATGGCTTTGCAACAAGATGGCCGCGTTCTCTGATCAAGGATGACCGAGTGTCGCGCATTGGATACCGCCATACCATATATAAAAAGCCGTTACATAGTTCCAGTGCTCCAGCGGCCTTAATGCTGTCAAAGCGCAAGACCTTTTGTCCACTGTCATGCGTTGTTGGACCATGCCCGGCGATGATCAACCTACAAGACGACGGTAGCCTCTTAATCGATACAACAGGGAAAATTGCGTGGAATTCATCAAAGGCAGGCATAAGCCGTAATCAGCGGTGAACCAAACTCGTGAATAGATCTACGCACAAATGTGCTGTATCGCGCACCATACGATAACCACATTACAGTCTACTGTGACCAGTGCTGCTGGCTCCCCACCGCTGTAGGTGTCTCTCTGCAGCCTTCCGGGGGCTCATGCCGTCGACGTGTCCAATGAACGGCGCTGCAACTTGGTATCCGAGCATGTCGACAATCCTCTTGGGAATGTCAGGGAGCTTCTCAAAGTCAACAGCAAGGAACTGATTTTCCATGGTGCGGATCCACGGCTGGCAATACTGCACAGTCAGGGCGCGACGGTCGCTGTCGGAGGTGTTGCGGCCGCCGCCGTGCCAGAGGGTGCCGAGGAAGTAGACGATGCTGCCCTTGGGCATAACGACGGGGACGGCCTCTGCGCGGCTCGGGATGCGATCGGCGTCCCACGTGTGCGACTTGGGCACAACAACCGTTGCGCCGTTGGTTGATGTGTAAGGGTCGAGGGCGATCATGATGGCCTAGTTTGATAGTCAGCAGGGTGAGAAGGGGAACTAAGGCGGATCTCTGTGAGCCGACGTACAGAGCCCAGCGGCCTGTGTGGCCGTGGTAGGGTAGCGTACCCATCGTCGTGGTGGAGCGTCTGGGGCTCCTCACCCGGCTGAATGTTGATGCTCTGGAAGCTGCTCAGGAGGAATCCGGGGTCGAGGAAGTAGTTGTTAAGAGCCTCGACTTGGGGATGAATGGCAAACTTGTCGAAGACCCTGGACTTGTTAATGAGCGTGTAGATGCGCCCTGTCTTAAAACCCTCAAAGTTGTTACGGCCGTGAGCACTGGCAGGGCCGCCAAGCTCGGGTGAAACGCTGAGGCGCTCTACTTCGCCAAGGGCTTCATTGATTTCTACGTCCCCAAAGGCGTTCTCGATGACGACGAAGCCGCTTTCGATAACGTGGTCGATGAGCTTCTGCGCTTCCGGGTCGGCGGGTTTGCGATGAAGCTTGGCGGAGGCGCCGGTATGGCCGTTGATGATGGTGTTGTTCGGTGGTTCCTCTGGTTGATACGACATTGTAGATGCAAATCGGCGTCCACCAGGATGACTGAGGCAATAAGTGATGTGTATTCTCGCGCTGGTGCTTCAACGTCCGTGTTGGCATGCAATCCGTCCATGGCGGCTCCGTCTCATGGTCTTATCTTGACGACCTTGGAGAAAGAAGCCGAGGCATAGATCGGAGGTTACATTCTGGAGCTCCAAAGTACCTAAGCACCCCGCATCTGTGATATAGGGTCAAAGGCACTCGTACGACGCGAGCAAAGTATGTTTAAGGTTTCCCACCTCACGGCCGGCATGTGTGATTCCCCGCTCGTGACTTTCCGAGCAATTGGCTGTCGAAATACCTGACTGGATCTCCGTAGTCCGGCTGCCTCGGCTTCCTCGTCCCACTTCGGATTTGCGGTTGAGTTGATGTCTTGCTCCGTGGCGTCCCGGCGATATTCCTGCGTGCTCACGCCGTTTCCGAGCACGCGCGTCATGCGATCCGGCCCAGGTGCTCGTGCTGGCAGGGATCGAAACTTGAGATACCTTAGGCTCTGTAAGTCACGACGGGCCGCTGGCATAATAGAGAGTCGGAGCTGTCCGGCGTCTCAATGACGCCCTTATGAAGAGGCCGGTGATGGGCAGCTGGTTTGAACAGCAGCGGCCCAAGGAAACGATATTTGTGATGTGCGTTGTAGGTGCTCACGTCGAATGCCAGATTCGATCTCCAGTGCATGGTTTGCTACTCATTGTTCGAGCACTTGGTGTAAAGAATTAAGTCTCTGATACGATCGGCGTCGACATTGGCTCCGCGAGCGTGGATCTGACAGGATAACTTTAGCGCGCCACCGAGAGTCATCCTCGACGGGCACTTGGCGGAGAATGGCCGGCCATGGGAAGGGATCTGGTCCACAGGTCTGGGTCTATTGGGTCCGGGACGCCTCTACCAATCTGCTGCCGTCGCTCACCGTGTCCGCAGTCGTGATGGCATGGTGGAGCTGCCATTCGGAATACCACGTCAGAAAGTTCCTCTTGTGCGGTCTCGGCCGACGTTTCAATCATCTATCGCTCAACATGGTTCAATGAAAGAAATTTACAGAAGCGAAGCAATCGGGTTTGCCAGACACGGGGTTCGGAGATAGCCAGATTGATGTGACGAGCCGAGCTGACGCACGAAGCCGGCCGGCCAGGGGCGTGATCTCGTGAATCCAAATTCTCAAAGTCCCCGGAACTGCATACGATTCGCCGTAGGGGATACCATACTCGCGAGCCTCGCAGAGAAGGATGTCCCGGCATCTCCAGTTCCAGCAGGTAGGGAGATCGCAGGCTTTAGTCGCGGTTGCTCCGCTCGATGGTATTGAGGCACCTTCGGGAGTACGAGCCATTGGTTTCTCCTTGGCGTGCTCGGCAGACAGAGGTTCCCCGTGACATCGCCACGTTGTCGCCTCGTCCCGGAAGATCAATGGTTGCTGTATTTGCTAATATTTCATAACGGTCGTCTCAAAGCACATAATTTCTGTGAACGTCAGCCGTCCCTTTGGATGCAACATGTTTCTTTCATGAAACAAAGCCTTGAACTGCATGTACTAAAGAATTTGAGCTGTAAGAGCAACACCGTATAGGACTAGCCATCTAATCGTTTCATACCTAGTATGGCTCGACTTTTGACGTTGGAATTGTCTGGCTCTACGTGCAAAGTCATCATGTCCCACGGTGTACTTACGGGATTTGTAGAAGGGCGAAAAAGAATATGGAAACCGTGGACCTCGAAGTATCTTTGAGGCAAGACAGAAATAACCATGCTGCTGGTTTTCGTTGGCGTTCTTTGGGACGTGATCGCAGATGTCGGTGGGGGGGCCGGCGACACGACAGCCAACGGCCTCGTCGATTTCAGGATAGGCCTTGACGATGTTCCGAGCGACCGCGTCACTTGATCGGTTGAGACATCAATGCGGACTATCTGACCGAGGTCAAAGGAGTGTAAAGAAGCCGTGGTCACGCCCGTAAGCAGTGGTGTTGGTAATCTGGACATTCAAGAGGCCTGCGGCGGTGGGCCCGTCATAGACAAGAATCTTGTGGACGATCAGGAATTCCGGGGGCCTTGTCGCTGGAGGGCCATATTCGGGGGTTGAGGGAGAGCATGGCGGCCACGGCACAGACATCAGAGATAGGCGCGGTAGCGTTGCAGGCATGGGCGGCCCTATTACAGGTGAGGTCAGTTTCGATCTTGAGGTCGGCTAAGGTACCGCAGTCACCAACTTCCCACAGCTGAGTGGCGTTGGTGCCAACCTCGGCAACGTCACAGCAGCAGTAAATCGTAGCCAATGCTAGAGTCTGTGGGAGTGAGAGGAAGATGATGTCGATAAGTCGACGTTGGCCGGATTCAAAAGCATCTTTGTGGTGGATGGCAAGACCTGATATGCGAGTCGCAGCGGGAGACGTCAGGAGCGGCCACGTGGTGTGCGACACTGTATCTCAACCGGCAGCGCCCTTGAGGCGCTGGCCCGGCGCCACTGCCACGCTTCGAGCTTGATGATGCTGGCATCGGTAGACGGCATACCTAACGGCTCATGATTGAGCCGACGGAGTGGGTAACTATTTGCCGAGGTGCAGGTCCAAGAGGCTGATTACCACTTGGAGATTTTGAGTTTGCTGGCGCAACCCTTTTCCATTCCGTCGTCGCGTGCAACTGGTTCGCCAAGCTCGGCACGCCTTCCGCGTTGGGTTCAAGGTCAAACGCGGCGATCGGGGCGTCATGAATGCCGTTATCCTCGACACACCATGCCGATTACTCAGCCCATGACTGATGGTTGCGGCTCGTGGCCGTCCGGCATTGGTCTCTCCTCGTCAGCACAATACGCAATCTCTATTTGCCTAAGCTTGGTAGGGAGGAAGGGAAGGGTCTTGAGAAATGGCGAACGATAAACTCTCATTTCGTTATAAGAGTTCTATCTGTTCCACACGATCCTTGAAATGACATTTTCATCCGCATTCTTAATCGGTCTCGGATTCACTTGAACGAGTTTCCTATACCACAAGCCACGCCCATCACCACATCAAGTCACCCACCATGGCTTCACCCAATAAGCCCACTGTCCTCATTACCGGGTATGTGTCAAAATAGGCAATGCATTTATATGCTATTGCACCATCTACTAGTCCCTGCATCTTGAGAGCTTACTGACGCGCGTCTGGTAGAGCCTCCCAAGGCGGATCCGGCAACGCCCTGGCCCTCGAGTTCGCAAAGAAGGGCTACCGAGTCTTTGCGACAGCCCGTTCCCTGAGGACTCTTACTAATCTGACCGAGAGCGGCATCGAGACCTTGACCGTCGATGTAACGGATTTCGAGAGTCTTGTTAGTTTGAGAGACGAGATCGCGGGCCGGACTGGCGGCAAGCTTGACATCCTCTTCAATAACGCCGGTACCCGTAAGTCATACTCCTTGAAGCTATCGGTAACATAAAAGTTATCTTATGAATTGAGCTATTCCTACTCCCGCGGCTACAGGAAGGAAATGCACTAACTGGAGTATTTAGTATACGAGGCACCGGCTATTGAGCAAGACCCTGTTCGCGTCAAAAAAATGTTCGATACTAACGTCTTTGGCCTCTTCGACTCGGTTTCCGTCTTTACACCCCTACTTCTCAAGGCCGCAGCTAGCTCAAGCCGTGCGCCGACTATCGTTAACGTAGCGTCTATTCTCGCCCGTATCCCTATGCCATTTACAGCTAGTTATAATGCTACAAAAGCCGCCGTAGCTAGCTATTCAGATACGCTGAGGTTAGAGCTCGAGCCGCTCGGTATTCGCGTCGTGACGCTCTATATGGGCGAGGTGTCGACTGGTCTCATGTCGACCGAAAACGTTAACTATGGCCCCGAGAGTATCTATGCCGACCTGGAGCCCAAGGCCAAGGAGCGCACCGCAAATCATACCAAAACCTCCGTCACCCCGCAAGAGTTCGCTACTGGCGTCGTCTCTCAGATCGTCGGCAGTAACTCAAACTACATCTGGAAGGGTACTAACGCCTTTCTATGCTGGCTCCTCAACGCCTTCGCACCCCACAAATCATTTGATAGTTCTTTGAAGGGTAGTGTCGGCCTCAGCGACAAGGAACTCGTGAGCAAAGTTCTCAAACGAGGCCAGAAGCTAATCTCAAAAGAGTGACAAGTCTTGCTGAGCATTGTTTTCTTATTTGTCCTTGCTAGACTAGATTGAAGGGCGCGGCTTCATCCATACAGAACTGACTTGGTTATACTTACCTGTTCCGGCGATGAGGAACGAGGCGGTGTACGAATTGCTAGGATGTAGTCAATGAAGATAGAATATAGACAGCGCTGGCGTCTCAAGTACGTAGTACCTTCTTTAATCAGAACACCTGTCTGTCATGGATATCAGTGACTTTTCGCATCTGCAGAGATACTCTCTTGGGTCACACGCCGACTTAAACGCGTCGCCGGATCGAGGCTTCTAAGGCTATGACCCGCATCCTCGGAAGCCAACGATGAAATGAGCGCCCTACGTGTTCGTGTTAGCAAGCCACGTCATGGATCAGAATCAGCGAAACAGTGACCCAAGACCATCAAGGGACACGAAGTGAGCCATTTCGACATGGCGGCACCACTTCGCAACAAAGATAGAGCAGATAAGTATATGAGGATGGAAAACTTTGTACTATTAAATGCAGTCTTCTTCACAAAAGTGATCAATTTAATTCTTACCTTGCATCCATTGTAAAGAGTAATGTCTTGACACAACACACCTTTAGAGTCACAACATGTGGTTTGACATGTGCTGTCGCTTAGTAGGTCCCTTGCACATGGATATTCCAGGGTCATCTCAAATGAGGGGTTCATGGACTCTCATTTCACCTTCCTTTTAAAGAGCTCGCCGTTGCAAGCGCCAGACAGAATCAATTGTCTCCATCGCGAAAGATTTGCTCTGCAGATTCCCTTGTATCTCTTAGATTGCTGTGAGTATTAATCCTTCCAATCGATAACGCTGGACTTTAGCTGTGTACGGCGCAGCAGTTAGCCGGAGGAAGAAATGCGCGCGCCTGCAGCGCATGTACGGTTTACTAGGCATCCAGCCCATGCGACCCACTGCGGACGGGATGAGAATGAGGAAGTTGAGCGCGCAGACGGACCGAGCATTCGACCCCGAAAAACATCAAGGGTTTGCCAATGTCGATACAGTGATGCATGGCAGGTTCGGCCCTCACGAACAGAACACCTATAAAAGCAGCTGTCACACTGTTGATATGGTTGAGAAGACCAGTCATCCAGCCTCATCATCTCGACTTGCGGCTCGACACCAACGCTTCACATTCCAGCATCACCTCTGACCATACCCATCACTTCAACAATGTTTGCCCACGCACTATTGGCTCTGACTCTCGGGGCTTCGTCTTTTGCGACAGCTTCGGCACTACCTCCCAAGGTGCCGGACGGAGATGTTGTCCCCCTTCCAGCCTCTGTGGATGTGAACAGCGTCGACCTCCACAACTTTACCGCTTCAGACGGAAACACATATACCGTTTGGGTTGCCAAGATGCAGAGCCCAGAGGACGTTCAGCCTACTGGTGCAGATGACGACAGCAACGTTGCCCGTCGCTGGCAGTGGGAGCATTGGCCCAACGGTGTTGACGCCTGCGGTGCTGCAAGCTTTCGAGACGAGACGTCAAACGGATCGCCGCTGACGGACCACTGCATCTGTGTGCGGGACTACGCAAGAGATCAGCTCCGAGGTAGATGGGCTTTCGGCCGTGACGACAAGCCTAACAATGGCTGGTTCAACCTGGTCGGTTGTGGAGAATGTGGCTTCCGCGTGTACACGGATAACTTCTTTGGAGCCTTTGTCGGCGACACCGATGTCAGGGACCTCTCTACCGATTCGATCAATCGATACAACAGAGGTGGAAGGGTTGGTGCGGGCGGGGACATGGGTTGCCGCAACTGGGCAGAGCTCGCCAAGGTTCATTGGAGTGTCTTCCGCCAATAGAGCGCGGCATCTTCCTGGTTTCTCGGACTGCGTTGAATAGCCACACAGGCCTTTGCTCGCCCAAATTCAATGTATTCGTCCCTGATCTCGTGCTCTGATGTTGACTCTGTTGAACATTGGAAATACCGCGTGACACTCGGCTCGGGATCCCTACCTTGGATGGACAACAGGATTGAGTCGCTGACACTGTGCAGGACACCACCAAGACAATACTGCCTACTTCAGAATCATCCTCAGGAGCTCTTCTCGCCATGTGTGGACGGTGCTGCGTGTTGCCATACGGCTTTGCACCGAGGCCTCCAATTCCACCTTGGTGACCTGCCGGTCATGCCGTCTCGTATCGACTCTTCTTCCGAATGATATGCCCCCATTTGAACAAGACCCAGGGAACCGGGGCGAGGGCCAGGGAGACAAATGCGAGCAAGCTGGCAGCCCAAGGGATACCCAGCGAGCGATACACTACACAAGATCAGCCAGGAACATGCATAGTGCTGCTTGGACGTACTCTGGACCGTGAACAACGGCAGAACCCCTGCCAGAGTGTAACGGGCAAACCCGTTGGCACTTGCTCCGCTCGCCACGTTTGCGCCGGTATACGTGTCGACGGTGTATTGAATGGTTGACACGAAAATGCAAAGATTGCCCCACGCAAAGACGATAATGGCAAAGGCGGGCACTGCCCAGCTTATGTCGTCCCGGGCGGTCCATCCAAACATGAACAAGCTGATGGGCAGGCCGATTGAGCCAAACATGGCCGGGAATAGGCGGTATTCTGGGGGCACCCGCTCAGGATGCAGCTGCTTTGCCCGAGGAAGATAAGATACGACGGTGAGCACGATGATGGTGACTGCGCCGAGCAAGCAGCCGATGACAATGGAGAGGAAGACGAGCCCGGACTGCTCAATTGAGAACCCATGCACCTTCCTAAAGACATAGGGCACACCTGCGAAAAAGGCGAAGAGTGTGGCAAACTCGCAAGCGACGTAGAGCGCGACAAAGGTTATGATGGGTTCCGTGAACAGCATGTGCAGAGGCCGCACTAGAGCTATGCGTAGGAACATGAGAATGTGGCTGCCGAGGGGTATCTTGTCCCCTGTTGGATGGCCAAGCCTTTGGGCCCGGCGTCGTTCGAGAACAGGACGATAGGTCTCTCTGCCCGCCAGAGAGAACAGCAGCGAAGCAGTAGCGAAAAATACCAAAGTCCACTGGGTCCAGCGCCATCCCTTGCGCATGACTACGAATGAACCGATGACGGGTCTTTCACGTCAGCTACTGGGGACAAATGATGGTGGCCGGCAGACGTACCCAAAGCCAGGGCCCAGAAACGGCATCAGGATGAAGAGCGTCGACGGCAGCCCGCGTTGGGCCGGGTGGAACATGTCGCTGATTGTACCAGCGCCCACTGCCAAGCTCGGAGAAAAGGAAAAGCCGGCCATGAATCGGAGGAAACACAGAGCGCCAAAGTTATGCGTCAGGCCTGCGCCGACGGTGAAGAGGGCTCCGAAGAACATGCTCCCGGCGTAGATTGGGTGTCGTCCGATGGTTTCCGACAAGGGGCCGCCGAGGACCGGTCCAAGTCCGAGTGCAAAGACGTACATGGAGAGTGGAAGAATGGATTGCATGACGTTGACTCCAAACTCTTCCTGGTACTGGAAAGTGGCTGAGCTGGGAAGCGACGTACCAATGGAGCTACAGATGTCAGCGGCGGCTTGGTCTGAGGGACGGGTTCTTACGCTGTGAAAGCCGCTATTGAGGCGATGAAAGTGTTCTTGAACTTCTCACGCGACGGCCAATTCAAGGGGTTTTGCGAGTCGTGCTCCCAGGACTCCGGCGGCGGCGAGGCGACATCTTTTACCGTGTTGTTCGGCTCATCCATGCTTCGTCGGGTGGGCGTATGGCGCTGAGGGCGTAGAGCCATCCATAGTAGGGGACAAGCTGTAGATATGGCTTGAACAGATGACCAATGTTATTTTTGACGTCGGCAACCTGGCAGCCCGATTACTGACCTGATGGTGTAATTACTGACCTGAGGGCCCGATTACTGAACACCGAGGAAGCTTTTCGGTTGTTCAGTAATCGCACGAGGAAGCACGTGACCAGAGAGCCAAGAGCAATAGTTAGGGAGCACAAGGACAGCAAGATCCGGCTCGGGGTGGCATATTGTTCGACTCTATCCGCAATCTGCGGGTTCGTCTGGTACTCATTGCGAAACAAGTTGCGATGCTTTGTAGGTGCTAGGTAGTCAACGGTGTGTGAGACTCTGACTGGGAAGGCACCACCCAACAGACCCGCTGAAACCCCGCAGGTGGTCACTACCTTTTGCTGCTCTCAAAGTTAGCGAGGCCATCTACACCATCAACCTCGTTCTCGGAGCCATGACGATGTCGCAAGACATTTTTGAACAGGTGGGCAATGGTATGTATTGCTCAGCTCTGGCCATGGATAGGTCTGTGGGCCGAAAGCGCGAAGATGCAAAACAGGCGCGTTGTGCAAGCGCCCTTCCCAGTCATGCTTCTCAGGTACCTTTGCGCACTTGACAGAGATCGTAACTTTTGCTGATCATGTTTTCTGTCTGAAACCAGAGGATGCAGACGTTGACATTTAACTATATGTAGAAAGCCTCGACTCCGAAGTCTATTCCAAAGACGCTGCCCCCGCCCGACTCTCGAGCACCAAAACACCACCAGCAGCCATTGTCGAACCCTGGCCCCTCTGCGAAGCGACCATCATGGGATGCCACGGCATGCACACTCGCTTCTAGGTAATCCTTTCCTCCGGTCGCCGAGCGGCTAGGTGATCTCATGATCTCGACCAGCACCTCGTTGGCGAGGGGGGCCGGGGCGCCGCGGGGGTGCTCGAGTCTGGCCGGCTTTTGAGAAGGGCTTGCCAGCTTGACCTGCGACTGTCCTACTCATACGCTGCCGAATCTGACAGTGGTCCAAGCCGTGGCTTCCGAATATTTATGTTTGTTCTCGATCGTAAACGGTGTCCAACACAGCGATCAGCGGACAGAAAAGAATGACCTTGAATGCGATTTGGACGGGATGACATTTTTACCCTTTCGGGCGCCTCGATCCACAAACATTTAAAGATGCGGGGTGGGTACCTGGTCCACTCATGATCCCCATTCTGAGCTAAGCCTGATTTAATCTAGATGCTAATCTAAAGTAAGGGATCTCATGGAAGTTTGGTTGCTTCCACGGCGGCACTTGTATTGCACTCAGCTTCTGGGTTCCGACGTAGATTTCTGTTCGACATCAATTTGCTTGGTCAGCCGGTTGGAAATCATCACATTCATGGCCAACATGGCAGCAGACGCGGTGCAGCAAAGCGACAAGGGTTCAACTAAGTCAGAGTCATTGCGCCGAAGTGGTCAGAGAAGAGTCGATATTGCCAACAACGCCAGGACCTCACTCATCGGCTGAATATATAAGGGTGCGTCGCCTGTCTGTCTCCAACTTTCACTCCTCATTCCATACTGCTTCCTCTCCGAGATATTTTCCAGCAATCTCTCTTGTAACCATCAGCATCAGTTGCTCGCTACCGAATCATGCGGTTCATAAACCTCATGGAGGCACCTCGTAGCCTCGGCAGCATCCTGCTTGTCGCCAGCACCATCTTTGCCAATCCGGCAACCGCCAACTCGGTTGATACGTACGACTATGTGGTCATCGGCTCCGGTCCCGGAGGCGGTCCCTTGGCCGCCAATCTTGCCCGAGCTGGCTTTAAGACACTGTTGCTTGAGGCTGGCGACGACGACAGTGCTTCCGAGATCACTAACGCCATTGCATTGACGAACACTGCGGACACCGCTGCCATGACGTGGACCTACTGGGTTCGTCATTACGACGATATCGAACTGACGAAGAGATACCAGCATCTTACCTGGAGGCTTCCCAACGGGAACCTCTGGGTTGGTCCTGGTAGCACTGCGCCTCCGGGAGCAGAAATTGTCGGCATCCAGTACCCCCGTGGTGCCACACTAGGAGGATCATCTATTGTCAACTCTGCCTTGACTGTACAACCTGCCAACAGCGACTGGGATTATATCAAGGATCTCACAGGCGATGACTCGTGGGGGTAAGCTGCTCCCGAACCCGTCTTTGGTTGTCTGTTGGGAACAAATCAGCTAATGCATCAAAATTAGCGCCGCTCATATGGGAGACTTGTTCATCAAGCTGGAAAGGAACCAATACCTCCCTCGCGGTACCCCGGGCCACGGCTTCGATGGCTACCTTGAAACAATCCTAGGCAACGGGACCGTTTTTCTTTCTTCGCCGCAGGCGACTGCGGTCCTAAAAGCCATGGCTGCAGAAGCAGGGCAGGATCCCGAAGACCTGAAGAACATCCTGAACACCGACCCCAACCAAACCCTGAACCCTGACCGGGACCAGATCACAGGTCTTCTGGGAAACCCGCAGCATGCCAATGCTACCTGGGCGCGCTATAGCTCGAGGAACCGAGTGCTGGATACCGTGCGCGCCATCAACAAGCACGGCAAGAAGCAGTTTCCTCTGGAAGTTCGTCTCAACTCTTATGCGACCAAGGTACTCTTCAACAAGGCCCGAGGACACTCGCTGCCTCGTGCCGTAGGTGTCGAGTACCTCGACGGCAAGAGCGCCTTCCAGGGTGACCTCCGGTACGATCCCAGCGTCAAGAAAACGTTGCGCCAGGTCTTTGCTCGCAAGGAGGTGATCCTCAGTGGCGGCTCGTTCGGATCGCCTCAACTGTTGCTCCTCAGCGGCGTTGGACCAGCTGCCGACCTCAAGGCCCTGAACATCTCAGTCGTCGCCGATCGACCTGGCGTCGGTCGCAACATGCAAGACCACAACGAGATTGCCCTCATTGGTCACGGTGCCCAGGCCTTCAACTATGACGCCGCTCCCGGCGGCCCTCGATCTCAGTGCACCTTTGGAGCTCCTGGCGACCGCTGTCTTGAGCTTTATCACCAGGGCCAGGGACCGTATGTCCAACCCACCCTGACTCAATTGGCTTTTCTCAAGACCAACCACACCACCAACGACGAACGCGACATTGCCATCTTCCCCGGATCCTTTGGGTTCCGTGGCTTCTGGCCTAGGAACACGGGACAGAACTGGGACGACCCTCCGACGACCTGGGGCATGCACAGCGTCCACATCCACGGCAACAGCACGGCTGGATACCTCAAGTTGCGCTCGGCCGACCCGACGGTGACGCCTGAGATCAACTTCCGACACTTCAATGGTACAGGCGCCGCCAAGGACATCGCCGCCATCAAGGAGTTCCTTGCTTGGGGTCGCCGTGCTTTCAACCGTGTGCAGGCGCCATTTGCTCCGTACAATATCACCTGGCCTCCCTGTTCAGGCACTGTTGGTGCCGATGGAAGCTGCTCCGTGGCCAATAGCGACGAAGACTTCATTCGTGAGAATGTTTTTGGTCACCACGTGATCGGTACCTGCTCCATCGGCCCCAAGTCTAACAAGAATGCCGTCCTGGACTCCAAGTTCCGTGTACGTGGTGTGTCCAGTCTGCGGGTTGTCGATGCCAGTGCGTTTCCGAGGTCTCCTGGAGCGTTCCCGGTCCTTGGAATTTACATGTTGAGTGAGAAGGCATCGGAGGATATTATTGGGGGTCGTTGAATGTATTTGCCTTGCGCTATCCACTGCAGCTACGCCAGAGTCCCTCCCAAGATTATTTCAGTTTTGGGGTGTGAGAAGAATAGGGAGCTGTGTAGAGCAGTGAAGTTAAAAACAGCTTCACTCACGAAATACCAATGGCACCGTTACGCTCAGACCAGACGACCTCAGCAGACGACCTCAGGGATGTGCCTGATATCCAACTCGATTTTTTAACTTTTTGATTTAGAAGGCGACGATGTTGACCTGGATTCAATGGTGGAGGGTCAAATATGTCCGTCCCTTGTTCGACAATCTGAGAACTGCGTCTCTGTGCTGCGGGCGTCGAACATACCAAAGACAAGCAGAAAAGATATATTCGTAGCCAGACTCACTCTCACCACGCATCTGTGAGTTGTGAAATCGGACCAAACAGTGATCCCATGGCTGTTCTCTACTCAAAGTTCCGGGTCAGATGTGTTCGCAATCTCCTTGTTGTCGATGGATCAGCTTTCCCGGTGCAACCTGGAGCAGAGCCTAGTCTGTCGACTTTCATGATTGGCGGGTTTTGCAACGTATTTTTCAAAGTATTAAGTACTTGGATTACGATGAGTTTTCAGGTGTAGGTGATACCAGGCTTATCGCGCATAGTCGCTTGGCTCTCAGCTGATGTTGATGCAACCATCAAGGTGTTTGGGCCATGACTCATCGTAACACAACGTAAACCAATATCCTACCTCTCATCAACAACACCAACACCATGGGCCGCACACAGCCATCAATCGGCCAGCCGCCGGCCTCATTTCGCCGCGCAGCTCGGGCGAAAAAGGCCAAGGCGACGATTAATCAAGTGGTACCCGGCCTACTGCCGACACATCCCCGCGCGCGTCGCGGGCTAGACGCGGCAGAGCTCATCGTCAATCCACCACCGAGGACGAGCAACCAGGAGCCCCATGCTCTTCGTCTCAAACTCCGATCCGCGGATACGCTCAAAGCTGCCCGGGCCCTTGTCGACGCAGATGCCTCTGTTCGCGTGGCGGTCCTCAACATGGCTTCTCCGCTACACCCTGGCGGTGGGTTCTTGAACGGCGCCAGCAGCCAGGAGGAGTCGCTGTGCATGCGCACCACACTGTTGCCATCGCTAAAAGACGAGTACTACCGGCTGCCCGAACTTGGGGCCATCTATACACCTGATGTCATGGTGTTTCGGGATGCCGACGGCGGTGATGTAGTGCTCGAGAAGCGCAACCGCTGGTTCGTAGACTGCATCACGGCAGCCATGCTACGGAACCCCGAAGTTGAGCGTGACGACGAAAAGGGCTGGGGACGATACGTCAATGTCAAGGACCGGGAACTGGCAGTGTCAAAGATGCGAATGGTCATGCGCATTTGCCAGGACAAGGGCGTCGAGAAGATTGTCCTCGGCGCATGGGGCTGCGGTGCATATGGGAATCCAGTGGGCGAGGTGGCTGCAGCATGGCGCAAGGTATTGTTGCCTCAAATCGTCTCCAAGGGTAAAAGGGTTGTGGAAACGTGGAAAGGCATCGAGGAATGCGTGTTTGCGATCAAGGATCCAGGTATGGCGGATGCCTTTGCTGCGGCGTTTGGAGATGGGCTGGAGCGGGAGGCCTTGGGTGAGGCAAACGAAGATGACGAGGATGACGATGAGGACGACGAGACGGCTGAACTCGAAGCAAAAATCGCTGAGCTCAGGGCGCGTATTCGCAACGCGAACCCTGCGATTGGTAGGGCTCTCCAGCCAGTACTCGTCGGGTTGATCGCACAGTTACCAGAGGGACACCCAGAAAGGTTGAGTGTGTGATAATCTAGGTCACCAGATTCTTCGCCACAGCACTTTCATATCACGGTCCGGTGGAACGCTGGCGGCACCGACGTAGCTTGGATCTCCTAGCGCTTCCCTGTCCGAGGGGGACCCGTCCAGATGCGTCCATTCGGTGAATTCAATGTCGAAGCGGCTGACGAGCAGAGCGATCGTGAACATGATTTCCTGCTTGGCAAAGTGTCGACCGGCACACATGGAAACGCCGCCACCTAGGCTATCAGCGTGGCACACAAACAATCGCAAGCGGACAGACACCTACCGTAGGGGAAGAACTCGCTTGACTTGGCAGTGAACATAAACTCCTCATGTCCCTGGTCACTGGTTTTAATATGACGCCCCGGCCAGAATTCGGTCGCAGGGTGTCCGTCGCGTGCCCAAACACGATCGTCCAGCCCCGCGAGGCTTGTGGGCGCCTGCACCATGCGCCCGCGTGGGAGCTCATAACCGCAGATTGTTGTCTTTTGGACGACTTCACGCGTAATGCTAATGAGTACATGGAGGCGCATGCATTCGAGATAGATGGCCTGGAGGAGCGGCAACTTGGCGAGCTTGAGTATGTCAATATACTTCTTCCCGTCATTGTCCTTGACGATTACTGAATCTGCCTCCTTCCGCGCGGCTTCGAAGAGCTCTGGATCTTTCACGAGCTCAAAGATGGCCCAAATGGTGATGGGAATTGAATTCGAGTTGAGACCAAACAGCACCAACAGCGTGTTGGCTGCAAGACCTTGTTCGGAAAAACCCGCTGACTGGCCAAAAGCCGTGACAGCGCGGTGGTATCGGCTGCCCATGGCCGGTTCCCAGTCAGGGTCTTCGACGCTGCCATCGGGACGTACAATCTTGGAGCCGTCGAGCTTCGTCTTGGCGAGAGCGCGTTGAAGATGCTGCTTGAGGAGGCCGTTGATCTCGTCTCTGACCCGGGCAGGTCGCGGATCCCACCAAGCGGGTGTCCCGTACATGAGGCTGAGTGCCACGCTGTCGAAAGTCCAAAACCTTTCCACCAGGTCTGGGTTCGTCTCGACAATTTCCGTGCCGGTCACTGCTCTAGTGGCTGCCAAGGCCATTTCGCGCTTGATAAAGTCGATGAGACGAGCGCTTTCCCAGCGACCGATTGTAGGTATCGCCTTTTCGATTCCTTGGTCGAAGAATTTTCCATACCATCGCATCAAACCGATTGCGGGTGTTGTTTGCCCGAGCAGAGAGTGAACAACCTGAGTTTGTCGGTGCCAGACCCTCTGCTCAGCAGGAAAGTCTTCCCAACCTTTCTTCGGCGTGCTCCCGCGAGCTGATCCGTCTCTGTTATAGATGGCAATATCATTCTTTGTCATTCCCATGACGTGCTCGAATATCTGAAGGAGAAATTTGTCCGGCGACAGCACGTCGGCGTTGCGGAAGAGAGGCTGCACAGCAGCGGGCCCACGCACGAGGGTGATGGGTACTGGACCGATAAAGAAGGTGGCGACGCTCGTTGACGTGCGATTGAGAAATAGCGAGACGCGGTCGAGGAAGCCCGCGGGATCAGTCATGAAGGCGATGGCGTTGGAAACGAATGGGACGCGCTCGGGGATGCGGGGCGGTCCGCGTCTGCTCGGCCAAAGAGCTAGAGCTAGGACAACAATGGCAGCGAGGATTGTCCATCGTTGGGTCAAGATGTCGACGGCGAGTGTTGCGTAGATGCGCATAATGTCCAAGGCCATGACTAGCAGTGGTTGTGTGCGGTAAAGTTATCGAATTGTACTCGAAGACGGCTTTTGTCGAAGACGGCTGGATGAAAGATTCAGAAGCCCAGTCAAGACCTGAATGGGAAACACGGGTGATGCTCACGTTTCTTGTTCCCTGACCGGCCGGTGGTGCAGCTTGCATGGAGCTACGCCCAAAGGAGGTCCTGCAGGTCGCGTCCAGCGAATCGCTTCGTTTGTAGTCATCGCGTCTCCCATCGGGGGGGTGATGGCTTATGGCGTCAGGTAGACTGGATGGGATAACGTGTAGGGTGGATGTCTGTTGGTGGCGAGGAAAGAACAATGCGAGGGGTGTGGAAGTGGTCACGGCAGGAGCGTGTGTCACGGGGCCAGCAGATGGGACGCACCCTGAGCGAAGCTAATTGCTTGAGCAGCAAACTAAGCAGCAGAGAATTCAAAGCCAAGTTGTGCGGTAGTGTCCATGTATTCGCCGAGCGTTCAAATGCCTGTGTAATGACGGGAGCTGGAGATACGGCCGGTCCTAGAGGCATGTTCACAATCACCGAGGACGTCTCTCTGATATTCGACAGAAAAATGGGATTCATAGGCAGTTTTCATTATGCCACCGGTTCATAAACGACTAATTCAAGAGCAACAAGGGCCGAACCAATACAGCGCTGATCTGCACCGCTCCTTACCCACCAACATGTGCTGTCCGGAACCATGACGCATCATCTGAGGCGATACCACTTTGCTATTTCCATCAGTCAGCAATGTTTGACGAAACTGTCGAGACACCATCTCACATTTCTTGGCCGTCTGTGGTTGAAGCTCTTCTTTATGTCTGTCAATGGTGTTTGCAGACTCAAAAGACGGACGCGGTTGTTCTCGTGCTGCAGGTTCGACTTGCTGCGGCTTGGATGCGCTGGGAGCAGTGACTGGCAAGGCGAAGCCGAAGCCAGAAATAGCAGCAGCTCCTACGGGGAGGCTGCTTGTTGCGATTTGATGAGTAGGCTTCTTTTCGGTCTTCTTGTAGACCGGGGGAGGGGGGTAGCGGGAGGCCATTGTGAAAGATGAAGTACGAGGTGATGATGCTTGTCCAGATGAGTTTGGTCTTGACGGAGAGCCTGCAAATATGGAAACAAAAGGCCGATTTATACTTTCCAGGACATTGTTACGTCCCTCTCAGATATTTCACTTACAAATCGTGAACATGTCTGAAAGGTGACGATGCTCGCTCAGCAGGGCCTGATTCTCCGAGGCTTCTCCATGCCGCCGCCCAATCTAACTCGCCCAAGACGCCCAAAGAGGTCAAATCGAGACCAGGGCGGCCTTTACGGAGTTTTGCACGCTACATCCGTGGCTCAACATCGGCTCTACTGGCGAATCAACGGTTGGTCTGAACTGTCTCTGCGGGGTCGCTGGCCAGCCCGCCAGGATGGTTCCGATGTCACAGTTTCGAGGATCGTCCCTCCGCCAAAGTCTTGGGCCGGTTCATCGGTCCGCATACGCTGTCATGATCGCGGAGAACATCCAAGATTTCGAGTAGCCGGAGAATCACCGACACCTCGTGCAGGAGAGCGGAGTTGCCGTAAGAGGAAGGCGGCTGGGCGTCTCCCTCGAGACTCATGACCTTTATTTATAGCGACCTGGCTGACGCACGTTTCAACAGCAGCTCATCACCATTAAAATGACCTCGTACGAGTCCCTCACGTGGCGCCAGGCCTCGCCGGGCATCTGGCAGCGCGGCATTGACGAGATTGAGGAGTTTTACTCGACCATGGCCGTTTTGTACGAGGGCAGCGGCCGTCTGTTCTTTGGCATCACGGGATTCCTGTCCCTGTCAGTCGATATTGCCGCCAGCGAGGACCCGGCTGCTGCCGGTGAAGGTGTGAGGCACGCGCTGCAGAAGGGTTGGCTTGCCTTGCGATACCACCACCCAACGTTAGCTTCGCAGGTCACCAGGGACGATCAGGGCAAGTGGACCAAGACGTATCGCGGGTGCGCTGATGAGCAGGACCGAAATCGATGGCTCCAGCAGACCTTTGTGACCGTATCCAACGGACAGACTGGTCTCGAATGGGCCAATTCTGACCCTCCGGCGCCTCAGCTACCGACTCTGTTCGTGATTGGGCCACGCGAGGCGCAAGAGCAGACCGTCCGCTACGACCTCGTCTTTCGATCCCCCCACGATATCATTGACGGCATCGGCACACTCATGATGCTGAACAATCTGGTGGGCCACGCATCTGAGGCCTACGCACAGGGTGCGACCTACCGAACGCCCGCCTTGGATGGCTCCGAAGCCGCCAACCTGAGTCCCCCTTACCGCATCGCCGCCGCTGTCCCCGCGCAACTGTCGGAGGCCCAGAAAGAGCGACTCCAGACGGTCACTGCGCAAAAGGCCCAGGTTCGCGCAGATACCAGCGTCGAGATGCTCGCTTTGCCCTTCAGAGAGGGAGCTCAGGTCCCTGGCGTGCACAAGAGAACCGCCCTGACGCTGTCTGTCGGCGAGACAGCTGGCCTCTTGGCGGCTTGCAAAGCCGCCAGTGTCACACCCACGCACGTCTTCCACGCTGCTGCGGCCGTGGTCGATCGTGACCTGCAGCCCGTGTCTGAGGCGCCGAGGCGCGTCCGATACATCAACTACATCCTCCGCAACGAGCGCGCCGGCTGCGCTGAGCCGTTTGGCACCAGCAAGCACCCTGCAGCTCTGTATCACTCTGTTTCGGGCCAGAGCCTCGTTGTTGATATGGATATCACGCCCGGCAAAGCCGATGCCGCGACGCGCAAAGAAGAGTTCCATTCCATCGTGCGTCACATGAGTGAATTTTATAATGAGGTTCGCAACGACAGCGAACATGCCGCGTTGGTGCCGGACCTCTGGGCCATGGGAACGCCAGAGCTGCCCCTGGCACCTCGGCCGCTGCCGGTACCCGCACCCAACAGCCACCCGTCCGTGTCCATTTCCAGCATGGGCCGCGTCGACACGATTGTATCGCCCAGGACGGGCGCCTTTGACGTGCTCGATGCCTGGGTCACCGGCGAGGAGCTCGGAACAGGGCTGGGCATATTCCTGGGTTCTTTCAGGGGACGCTTGTGCGTGAGTGCTGCGTATAACGACGCATGGCACAATGAGGCGGGCGTGTCAGACTTTCTGCAGCGCGCCAAGGATGTCGTGTGGACGGGGATGGATCTGGGAGTGTAGTTAGTTGAAAGCCCCCCC